TCTCGAAGTGGTTCCTCGCCACGGTCGTCAGGCTCGACAGCTTGGGCCTGAACTCCAGGTACTTGTCGGCGACCGCGCCGTGCTCGCCGCCCGCCTCGGCGACGAGCTTCGCCCTGTCCTTCTCGGCGCACTCGTGCAGGCGCTCCAGCGACTTGTCGGCCTGGCTCTGCAGGTCCTCGAACAGGTCGCGCTTGGCCGGGTCGTCCAGGTAGTAGCCGAAGGCGTACGTCCACCGCAGCATCCGCCGGCACTCGGCCACCTGCCGGTACGCCTCCTCCAGGAAGTCGAGCTCCGTCTCCACCACCCCGAAGGCGGCGGCCACGGCCTCCCTCTGCGCGCCGTCCTTGCCGAGCGCCACCTTGTCCTCCAGCGCCTTTTGCCGGGACCGCTCGTGCGCGCCCCAGCGCTCGTAGTAGTGCAGGTATCGGTCGACCGACGCCTTGGCCTGCGCCCGCCGGAGCTCCTCCTTCGTGTACTTGCCCTCCGCCCTGGCGGCGTTGTAGGTGTTGCAGTTGTAGTTGCCGCCGTCGTGCTTGCCCCAGGGGCCCAGGCAGAGCCAGCAGAACTGGTGCTTGCACGGCGGCGAGCACGTCATGTGCATGCATCCCTGGTTCTTCTCGATGGGGCGGCGGCACTCCGGGCAGTGCTTCGTGTTGGCCAGGACCCACTGCGCCGTCTCCGAGTCGGAGCGGTTCTTCTCCAGCCACTCCCGCACCGTGTCGCACGCGACCGGGCGGTGCGCCTCCTCGCCGCAGGCGAGGCAGAAGCCGTGCCCGCACGCGCACCACGCGTCCAGCTGCACTGTGCACTTCTCGCCGTCGAACTCCACGGCCCGGTCGCACCCGGGCGCCGGGCACCACCGGATCCTCTTGCTCTCCTCCACGTACGACCTGACCAGGAACTCGCCGTACCGTTTCGCGTCGTCGGCGTCGGCCACCTCGTCGACCAGGTCGCGGACCACGGCGGCGGAGCAGGCCATGTCCGGGCACCGGATCGACAGGCAGCGCGCGCCGTCCCCGACGGCGGCGCGCACGTAGCCGCTCCAGCACCCGCGGCAGTAGAAGTGGGCGCACCCGGCGGACCGCATCTCGCCGGGGGCGTGCGCGTCGAAGCAGATGTAGCAGGTGAGGGGCGCGTCGTTGACGGCCACGGAGACGGCGTCGCCGTCCGCGGGCAGGCCGACGGCGTCGCGGACCTTGTGCTCGTCCGAGAACCACCGCTCCCACACGCCCTGGGCGCTCCACTTGAAGTGGCGGAGCACGGCGGCCGCGAGGGCCGGCGGGAGCGCGATCAGGTCGGCCACCCGCGCCGTGTGCTCCTCCTGCCGCGCGCGCACCTCGTCCATGGTGAGCACGGCGTACTGCGTCGCCGTGAACCTCATCTCGTCCAGGACGCCGCCTTCCTCATCCACCTCCTCCAGCCCCTCCTCCTCGTCCCCGTCGTATTCATCGTACATGCCATCGTCGTCGCCGTCGCTGTTGCCGTACAAGCAATCATCAGCGTCCGCGTCATCATCGGCGCCGGCGTCATTATCGCTTTCGTTGGAGGCGGTCCGGAAGCTCATCCGGTCGTCGTCGGCGGCGGCCCCCTCCGCCTCCTCGGGGCTGCTGTAGTACTCCTCCTCGTTGTCGCCCGTGGACGCCATGGCTGCCCTAGTAGCTAGCTAACCTGGCGATCAATCTTGTGCACACGTAGCTAGGTAGGTACTGCTGGTGGTATGAGGGTTTGGCCCGATCGCCAAGCTCTTATAGATACTGTATGGCGGCCATGGGGGCCGAGTCGGGCTAGGGTTCTGCTCCGCCAATCAATCTGTATTCTGAAGAGCAGATCATAGTCGGATCCTGGCAGCTAGGAGCAAACGTGCGCTCCGCATCTCCAGGGGAAAAGAGACACGTGTCCGTGTTTGTTACTGCCTGAAACCTTTTTTTTTGGCTTGTTTAAATTGATTAATTTATGTGTGCACGGTGCATCATTTTGTTGCGAAAATCACAGCGGTTTTATTTACTCTTTGTCTTGTGTCCATGAACCGGACGAGCTTGTTCACTGTTTTTAACGAAATTCACAAACTTTAAAAAAGGAACACACATTTAATTTCAGAGCTCGCGCATTATGATTTTCGAACACAGTCCAGACATAGTCGACGCCAATACATACGCACATACACTAACCCCTATGAATACAAACATGCACAATCTATCCCTATGAGCACCTCTGAGGGACATACCATCTTGAGATTGACGAAATCGCCTCAGACGCCTTCATAGTCGACAGAAACATCTACTCCCACTGAAACGCACATCAACGAAAGTCTGAAATAAATTCAGAAAAATGCAAGCATCGGTGTCAAGTCTATGAATTGAATCCTGATGGCCTGAAGATACATTATCCTCCTAACCATCCATCTACAGGTTAGTTCTCAGAGCTCGTACATTACATTCACTTGCAGAAATATTTAATGTTCATACAAGCGCCTTCTGGCGGCAAACCTAGCCAAACATGGCCGCCTGGTACCAAGGAAATTGCATAGCGTGTCGAGGAATGGGCTTCATTATTATGCATTCCCCTCTCATGGCGGAGTTCTACGCATGCAAACTCTGCCGCCTCAGAGCTGACTATCTGCCCATGGCCTCCACAGGAACCCTTTGCAGCATAATGTCAGCTACCAGGGCCAGTGCTTCCCAACATGCAAGTATCTCAAGGACCAGGGTCATCGGTGTCGAGACAACGGGTAATGGTCGTTTTCATTGCGCGCCATCGCAACGACGCCTTCTACTTCATCACCGCGGCATCCACATTAATCTTCACATATCCCAAATCCAACCTTGATGCACTGTTGTAGTTCAAGCGTGGGAAGTAGCCTTCACCTACTTGGTAGATCCATACGAGACTTCCCCTTGTCTCATCCCCTAACCCTAGGCGGCTAGGTAACTTTCTCTTCCAGATTTCACCGACAAGACTGTGAATTTGCCTCCTATTTGCATGCTGCTCCAGTAGCCGGTGACGGAGAAGAGAATCCCGATGCCTCCACTCCGGTTAGTAGTTTAGGTTAGGGTTTTTAGTCCTCGCGGTTGCGGCGCTCAGACGGATCGCGACGCTTCTTCTTCGAGTTTGTCTTTTGGTCTTCGGTTCTTTCGAGTTCGTCCGTTTGGACGTAGTCGTTGAAACTCTGGCGTAGATTCATGTCATCTCCTTGTGGTGGTGAGGTTAGGATTTCTCGTCATGTGACGAGATTTGGTGTCAGTTGCTTCAGATCTATGCAAGGGTTGTACGAAGATGACTGCGATTCCAGGGCGCTGGTCCTTAGAGGCACGTGCACAGAAACTTCCCGGCTGTCATCGACAAGGTCATGCGGTTCCGGTAGGGGAGCGACGACAGCGGCGCATTGACGGCTCGTTCTGGCCGCGGTAGTGTTCATTTGGTGGTCTCGAAATCTTGATGTAATGTCTGAGATGCTTTTGTACGAACTTTTATAGTAGATTAAAAAAAGATAGACGGAGTAATCACCATGGTTTTCCATTGGAGGAGGGCACACGCCTCTCCCGACACTCCTCACAACCATGCACCAAAGAAGCACATGCCCTCCGGAGCCACCTAGTTGACCGCCTCCTAAGGAGGAGTGTCCCACCGCCGCCGGCGATGACAATAGGAGGTAGTGGTGCTAGTGGATGGGTGGGGCGTCTTCCCGCTTATCACCGCCATAGCCATTGAGCAGCTGTCAAACTCGTGCCACGGATTCGGCCGTTGCCACCGAGTCATCCATGTCTGGCCCATCCAGCCGCCTATGCGCTGAAAATCACCAGACGCGCGAGGTGTCGTAGCCAACATACAACCATTGGGCATGTGATCTAGTGTGTGTTCTATTCTTAAGTATTTCCTCTGTGCCAAAATATGGTGCATCTTATATTCGTCTCAAGTCAAACCTTGTAAAATATGACTCTATTCTTACCGTGTGTTGAAAACAAATAGTTCTTCTAACCATCGCCGAAAGATCTGAAATAAATTTTAAAAAATATGAGCATCAGTGTCAAGTCAAGGAATAAATACTGGTGAGCTAGGATACCACTATCCTCTTAAACATCCAACCAAAGGTTGGTTGATTACCAGAATATGTGTGTGGCTTTAGATTGAATTTCCAAACAGATGCCAAGACTCTATATTGAATAATGGAAAATAAACAAATAGTTTCTTTAGGAACAAAAACAATAGGGCAACCAAAAGCTCTTAAAAGTTATATACCATATTTACTGCGTCTCATACGCTGGTTTGATCAAAAGAGAATAACATGCGCCTGGATCTCAACATAAAAATCATTTTTTGGGATCTATTAATAAGCATTTGTTAGAGAAATAAGTACTCCCTTCGTCCCAAAATAAGTGTCTTACAAATATCATCAGCTACACATTCACGCCATAGAACTTCCGATATGATTGTGAAACAAAAAATAGGCCTACAATCATACACGTCGACCAATCAAGGCAAAAATAGGCCTACAATCATACACGTCGACCAATCAAGGCGAAAAGGTTACCATGGATTCCAGATCCTACAAAAATCCTCAAAGCCATGTTCAACCCAATTCAATCATAAGGGACTGGGTGCAAGCAATGTACAGTAAATATCTTGTGTGATTACAGCTTGTAATAACAGATGCAAGAGAAAAGTTGACATGCACAGTATGGTAAAAATCCATGGTGTTTTGCTACCTCATCCACCTATTCACATCTGTAACAAATGTAACAATGCGGGTGTTGGGGGGAAATCCTGTAACTGCTGCGATATACCCTATCATACAATTTTCCTCAGGTGTTGCAACAATAAAACCTCAAAGTGGCAACATCCACGTCAATAACCCAAAAAAAGCCAATTATTATGGACTAAAAAATTACAACACACCAGCTTGCTCTCCCTCCCTAATGTCCACCGAGAGCTCAGCCAGGCGTCTGTGTATAGCTCCACCGAAAATTGCTGGAAGGTCGGATTCGATGTTCAGCGGCCTGGCCCTATTGCTCAGCAGTTTGGCCCTCCTGTGCTGAACTCTCCGACTTGCTCTGCTCGCCTTCTGCTGCGGAATCGCTTTCATTGTCAGGGAAAACCTCTGGCTGAAGCGCTGGCGCGACCTTGTTGACTTGAAGCCATGTTGCTTCCCACAGCGTGTTCTCCTCGCTGGCGCTTGTCTTTGACAGTACACCATTTGCTTTCATCACCAGTAGTATGTTCTTCAGTAGCTCAGGGATTGCCTCATGTAGCTTCTCAGTCCTCCTCCCTCTCAGTTTCACTTTCATGAACTTCTCTATCATGTCGAGGACTTCCAACCACAGCTTGCTGAAACTGCTCTGTGCGGACAAGTCTTTAAGTGACTGCAAGAACACCTTGCACAACAGTTTCACGGCATGCAAGAGGGACACCTCCATGTTTCTGAAATCCTTTGGTGAGTAACTCTGAGCAATCTCCAACAACTCGTCAAGCAACTGGAAGATAATATCAAAGGACATCAACCATGCAGAAGAGGAAACTGATATTCCATCAACTACTAAGCATCTGTGCAAACATAATAGCGCATGGTTCCTCACTTCCTCCCTCTGATCCGTGCACACTTTCCTCAATGCCTGCACTAGCCGCAGCCACATCTCAGCGATTCCTTCCAATATCCTGTCTGCTTCGCCACCAGCTTCCTTGACCTCACGTGACCAGCGTGTAAGGCAATTTACTGAGTCAGCCATTAGGTTCAAGGCATGGATAGATCTCTCTGCAGACCCAAGCCGAGATTCTGCAAACTGCCTTGAGGCCTCCACAGAAATGATAAAGTTGGCAGGTGAGAGGTGTGCTCCATCAGACATGATGAAAACCAGAGCTTCAAAGCCAGCATCAGAAGCATCAGGATGACGAGCAGTGACGCAGAGTAAGGAAATTATAGTCCGCCAGCCCATCTGAGATTTGATATGGGTTGCATTGGCCTTCACAAGTCGTGTGACCTCCAACGTGATGTTCTCACAGTAAGCATCAGCTACACGAGCATCAAGTTTCAAAATCAGCTGCAGTGACCTCAGTAAGTCATCTACCAGATTCTCTTTGTAAGGAAGCAACCTCTGGCAGATGTGCAGGAGCCCGAACACAGCCTTCTCCACCAGATTGCAAGGCATCACTGTGGACTGGACAATATGGGTTATGTGCTCATAAACACCCTGCCACAAAAGCACAATCCTGTCTCTGTTGTTTAATGTGACAGTAATTAGGAGCTCTAAGCAGAACACTGCTGTGCCTTCATCATCAAGCGAGCTGGTTATCCTCTGAGGTCGGCCTGCTGCCTGAATGAGGGCTCTTGCCAGATTTGAGAGTGAGTCAGCTTGTAAGAATTTACTCTCGGTGAAGATGGTACCTATTTGGCATTTCTTTACGGTCTCCAAAGCATTCCTCTGAGCTGCCAGTTGCTCTTCAGTTGGCTGGGACCTTGGTTCTTCAGTATCCAAGTACAGTAGTTGGCTAAACCTCCCCATCAGCCCAAATGTTTTTTTAGGGGTGTTGATTGGTAAGGCTTGAGGTGCAACTGCAAGTGCATATGAACCAAGCTTGCTAGGCAATGAATCTGAAGACGACTCCTGATCGTCACCCGTGTCGCCAGTGAGGCGACCCGGAAGAAGGCCTATTTTGTGCAGTCTTAGAATGCAATCTACTATATTCCTCCATCCGCTCCGTATATGATCACCATAAGTAGTTGCAATTGTGAAGACCGCCTCTGTTGCCATTCTAGCCTTGGTATCCACCCCAAAAGCTATTACAGGGTCATCAGCATAAGAACTGTTCAACAAAGTGGTGAACTTACACAGTGCCACAACAAGATCATTCAATACATCATCGAGATGATAGAATGCAGCCAGCTTTGCTACAGATAGAAAACCATCAATGCATCCTGTAAGAATCTCCTCATGCTCAACATTATCAAAAACCACGGAGATAGCAGCAACTGATGGTCCGGCCATGATAGGGAACATGTCATTATCAAGAAAAGGGTAGGAGTCACAAGCAATATACACTGATGTCCTCTTTGACTTCCACACCAGATCGACCCAGCGGCTATAAGACATCTCAGAGCATCCAGCTCCTTGCTCGGGAATGGTTTTGATCTCATTCCGACATATAGAATAAAACAGCTCCGACAAGAACTCCCTCGGAAGATCATTCCCACCATTGATACGACGATTGTTCCTGATAAAGTCTTCTTCAGTCATCTTCTTCTTAACCCTTACATTGTGTTGATCTGTGTTGAGCATAATTACTGAATACGACAGCACCAGAGCAGCATCCCTATTAACAAACATGTGTGGTGACTGTTCATAATACCTCTCAGAGAAGGCCTCCAGAATCCGCTGTATCTTTTGTGACTCACCAGGCAGCCGGAAAGTTTCCAAGAAGAGCCTTAGGGCAGCGTCCAAGTTCATATCCTCAAAGTCAAAAGTTTTAGCAAATTCGTGAAGTACCAGAATAGAGAACTCATCATGATTCCCAAGGTATTCCCCAAGAAGGTTCTTGTCCAATCCAGGTGTGTACCGAAAGAACAGAGCAACACTTCGTGGATCAAGTTTTTCAGGCAATAGGTGGACACCTTGCAGGTACTCAAAGCCCTTCTTTTTGTCCCTATTGAAATGCTCAACACCAACCATTAGCTTTCTCTTGATGCTTTTTTGCTGGTGAACGAATCTAACCCATTGATCAGGATCATTACTGCCCTCGCACTTCAACTGCCAAAAAGGAAAATATTCACTAATTTCTGGCACTGTCTGCCCATGATGCTGATGTGCATGATCAGTCCTCTCTGCTATCGCCTGAATGACAGCAACCAAACCATCCAATGCAAGGACATTCAATGCAGACAATGGACTGTTTACAGGGAATGCACTTCTAGACAGAAGATTAGCTAGGTCTTCAAAAACATTCGAACACTGTAGATCACAGTCCATGTTTGCATACATCTCAGCCATAAACTCTTTCTGCCGACAGAAATCCACTAGAGCCTCCAGGGCGACTTCCTGCTGCTGATAACTAGCTCCATATCTACCCTGGGCTAATCTTAGGATCACACACGAGAAGAAAGCCTCAATTTGCAGCTTAAGTTCCTGACGTAAATGGTAGAAGAGAGTAAAAACAGTGCTGCACACTGTCGACAGAATCAAGGGGCTCATTGACAAGCCAAACTGCATTAGATTGTGGAACAGTTCATCCTGTACAAAAGCCAGCAACTTTGGGTGCCTGTGGATGGACGAAGCTGACAACTCAATGGCAGAATTTATCAACCCCAGAGCAAAGAGGGGCACGTCCTCATCATAATCAATAACATTCATCCTTTGGCTCACATCCATGTCTTCGGCTATGTTCAAGAGGGAGCACAAGAACTGTAATATCTCCACCATGCAAGGAACCCCAAGCGACTCCATCATGTCCTTGTCTTGAACGGCACCAAATCCACCTCCGACCTCATCCCCGGAGCTATTCAAACAAACATAATCACTCTTCCCATTCCCTAGCTCCTCAGCACCCAAATCTTGGTTTTTGCTAATCTGTGGAACAAACGAACCGCCACATTAATACACCAAACTTGGTATTACCACCAGAATGCATTTTGTTCCAAACTAGCATGATACAGTGTACAGGTAGGTAATCGAGGCAAGTAAAAAAGGAGTCGGTTTCCATGTGCACACAGTCAAATTGCTAGAATGACAGCATTTAGAAAACTAAGACTCCAATTAACCCTCCATACAAATACACACACACATGAATAAGTATAGTTACTTCAGTACACAAACCTAAAAGAGCACTGCAAGTTAAACTATCACAGTACTGAGTAAAAAAGGAACAGAGCAGCATTGTCTCCATGATCATGTGTGCAAGCAATATAAAAATGTAATTGGTGGGCTGAAGACCCTGAGAGGCAATTCCACCTGCTCGTTCACGATGGCGGTGGGTTCAATGTCGGCAAGGCGGCCGAAGACACAGCGGATGACCTCCTGCATGGTCTGCCTGGAGACGCGCTGCAGGAGCTCCCCCTTGGTGCCGGCCTGCTGCACGACGCGGAAGCAGGTGGTGACGATGGCGCAGACGTGGCGGTTGGAGAGCGCGGGGGCGGCGCGGCCGCGCACGCAGGCGAGCAGCACCTGGAGGACCCGGGCGAGGACGGCCTCCTCGGAGGCCGGGTCGGTGACCTCGAAGCGGCAGCCCGTGACGGCCTCCACGACGGCGCCCATGGCCTCGGCGGCGCCCCCGCCGGGCGCCACGAGGTCGAGGGACAGGAGCTTGTGCAGGGAGGAGAGCGCGGAGCCGGTGATGGGCGCGCCGGTCTCGTCGGAGCGCACGACGTCGAGGAAGGGGCGGAGGCAGAGGAGCGGGTCGGCCTCGGGCCAGCGGGTCCCCCACGCGGCGGCGCGGCGGCGGAGCGACTTGAGCCCCGCGATGAGGGGGTGGTCGAGGTGCTCCTCCTCGGCGCCGCCGCCGTCGTCCCCGCCGTAGCGCACGCCCGCCCAGCGCACGTTGCGGCGCATGACGGCCAGCACCGTGGCCACCTCCGACGCCACCACGCACGCCATCGCCACGCCCGACGACGGCGACGCCGACGACGCTGCCCTGAGGCCGCCCATGGAGGCGGGCGGGCGGCGGTCCGGTACGAGCGCGCGGGCGGCTACGAGCGCATCCGGGGGCCGGGTTGGGATCTGATCTGGGCGGGGTGAGATCTGGCTGCTGGCGGGTTTGGTCTTCGGGGCGGGGGGCTGGATCTGAGAGAGACCAAAGCTCAACTCCTAGTACTACCACCCAATGAGTTTGGTGGGTTTTTGCCTTTGTTTGGTTTGAAATTTTGAACTTTATAAAATATTCTCTGCTTCATGTTCGGGGGGTAGGCCATTCCTTTTTCATGAAATTACGTTGAATCAAAGAGGCCTTCGGAATTGATTCTAGTAGCTCAGCGGCGTACGTCTACTACGACTACGAGAAGAAGGTTTAGCGCGAACATCATATGTGTCGAGATTGTCATTGATTCCCCCAGAGCCTTTACCATTCCACTGTAGATCGAGTTATATATGTGACTGAATGTGTTAAAATTTGTAGTTTGTTGTGGGATAGGATTTGAATCACTGTTTGACTCGATATTTAGCTTAACCATAGAAGAATACAACGAGCTCTCCTTCAATATATCGTTGTTTGGTTATACAGTTATCAAAAATCATTGCGGCGAAGGTGTTTTTCCACCACATAGCGATAGCCTAGGTTGCGGCTTATTTGGATACCGATAATTGTCTCTTGACATCATGGACGTCCATTTTTAGTTCATGTAAGTTGGGTGGTCAAATACCAAATTTCAGGTTTCTTGTACTTATGTAGAATGAGCTGCAAAAATGGAACGAGATTTCATGGATAAACAAATTTTCAATGTTACTTGAAAAACAATACTTTTTATAGATTTCATGATATTATAATAGCATGAAACAATCAAAAGTATACAATGGTATAGAGGTATAGATATATATGACCCCTTCATACGTCTCGAATGTATGTATAATTTTTGATTGCTTCATGCTATTATAATATCAATTTTGAATAATTTTTATAGCATCTTTGGGACTAACCTATTAATTTAGTGCCCGCAGCTAATTGTTGTTTATGCAATTTTTTTCTTCAGAAAATCCATATCTACGAAGGTCAAAAAAATCTGATGATTTAATACAATTATTTCACGTCATGAAGATTCCAGAAAGTGTTGGGACATGCCGAGGGGCCAGCCAAGGGCCCCACGCAACCAGGCAACACGACCAGAGGCTGACCCACACCACTAGGTCATGTGGAACCCCTGTGCACCGTCTTTCGTCAAAAAAAAATTGCCTATAAATTCCATAAATCGAGAAACCCTCTGTATCATCTTCCTCCAATTTTTCCGCTGCCGCAAATTCCTGTTTCAAGGAGATCCAATCTGGAGACCTGTTCCGACACCCTGTCGAAGGGGGAATCCATCACGGGAGGATTCTTCGTCAACCTTGTTGCCTCCATGACCATGTGTGAGTAGTTCCTTTAGGACCTTAGTGTTCATAGCAGTAGTTAGATGACATTTTATCTCCCTTGTGATCGAATACAAAAGTTTCCTTGAGCTACTCACATGATCGGGATCCATATGATGTAATCGGTTGTGTGTTTGTTGGGATATGATGAATTACCACTTTATAATCAGATTGTTCATTGAATTTTATTGAATCACCTGGTCGCCCTTTGTTAAGGGATGTTGTTTTATTTGCAAGTAGGGAATTGATATAAACTTAATAGGAACCAGCGCGGGGCCTCAATAGTGACCGGAGGTGTATGATGTGTGATCTCATTTCTTGTATACCAAATCCTCCACCTGGTCAACAAAGAAGCAAGGTTCTGCTAATCTAGCAGTTTATCAAGCAAGCATAATAACCAATATGGCTCACTGTCACGCAGGTCAGCAGGGTGATGGTGTCCTGGAATAGGGGGTGCTAACCGCGTCGAACCCATCATAGTGGGCTGGGCTGTGGACCCTTGGATCATCAACATATGGGCCAAGACTGTCATGCCCCAAGGCATGCTCAAGATGGATGATACGTCTCCAACGTATCTATAATTTATGAAGTATTCATGCTGTTATTTTATCATTCTTGGGTGTTTTACAATCATTTTTTAGCAACTTTATATCATTTTTTGGGACTACCCTATTGACCCAGTGCCCAGTGCCAGTTGTTGTTTTTTGCTTGTTTTTTACATTGCAGGAAATCAATATCAAACGGAGTCCAAACACCGCGTGACTTTTTGGAGATTTTTTCTGGACCAGAAGGAACCCAATGGGCCTGAGCTGCACCTGGGGGGGTGCCCCGACGGGGGCACAACCCACCAGGGCGCGCCAGGGCCCCCTGGCGCGCCCAGGTGGGTTGTGCCCACCTCGGTGGCCTCCCGTACCCCTTCTTTGCACTATAAATTCCCAAATATTCTGAAACCCTTCGGGGTAGCCCTAGATCAGAATTTCCGCCGCCGCAAGGTCTCTGTATCCGTGAAAACCAATCTAGACCCCGTTCCGGCACCCTGCCGGAGGGGGGAATCATCTCCGGTGGCCATCTTCATCATCTCGGGGCTAAGGGTTTGAACCAGTAGCTATGTGTTTGATCTCTCCCTCTCTCTCTCTCTCTCTCTCTCGTGATCTCTATCATGGGCTTTGTTAATATAGTCGGATCATATGATGTTCCTCCCCTCTATACTCTTGTTATGATGAATTGAATCTTCACCCTTCAAAGTTTTGTCTTGTCGGATTGAATATTCAGAGATGAGAACACATGATATATGTCTTGCAATATGAATACTTGAGGTGACAATGAGGTATCTTATTGATTCACTTGATATGTGTTATGGCATTCAACTCGCGGATTCCCGCGGTGATATTGGGGTAATCTATGCATAGGGGTTGATGCACGTTTTTCTCCGACGAAAACTTTGGGGTCTCTTTATAGTTCTTTGTGTGGATTGAGTATTATGAATATGAATTTGCTTTGGTGTTATTCTAGTACGAACTCTAGGATAGATCAAACAGAAAAATAGCTTTGTATTATTTTAGTACGAACTATTGAATAGATCGAACGGAAAGAATAGCTTTGAGGTGGTTTCGTGACCTACAAACAATTCCTATCTTTTGTTCTCCGCTAATAGGAACTTGGGAGTAATTCTTTATTGCACTTTGAGGGATAATCATATGATCCAACTATGTTAGCATTGTTGAGAGGTTGCACTAGCGAAAGTACAGACCCTAGGCCTCATTTTTAAGCATTGCAACACCGTTTTTGTGTCCGTTTACTATTTGTACCTTGCTGTTTTTATCTATTCAGATTATAAAAATATATTTCTACCATCTATATTACACTTTTATCACCATATCTTCGCCGAACTAGTGCACCTATACAATTTTCTATATTATTGGGTGTGTTGGGGACACAAGAGATTTCTCGTATTTGGTTGCAGAGTCGTTTGAGAGAGACCATCTTCATCCTACACCTCTCACGGATTGATAAACCTTAGGTCATCCACTTGAGGGAAAATTTCTACTATCCTACAAAACTCTGCGCTTGGAGGCCTAACACGTGTCTACAAGAATAAAGTTGTGTAGTAGACATCAAGCTCTTTTCTGATGGCGTTGCTGGGGAAGTTAGGAAACCGACACTCACGCCATGACAACGAAGCTCTTTTCTGGCGCCATTGCCGGGGAGGTGAGTGCTTGAAGGTATATCTTTAGATCTTGCAATTGAATCTTTTAGTTTCTTATTTTATCACTAGTTTTGTTTATAAGAAAACTACAAAAAATGGAATTAAGGTTGCATCATATTATTGATCATCTTTATAATATCTTTCTTGAAACTGATGGTTCGGAAAATTGTGCTCAATTGATAGAGGAAGAATTCAATAAAATGTTTGGCATAAATGATGAGCATGATTGCAATGTTGCTAGTATTAATTCTTTGAATATCCATGATGCTAGTGATATGCAAAGCCATAAGCTTGGGGATGCTATGTTTGATGAAGATGATATTTTTATTCCCCCATGTTTTATGAGCAAGTTTATTATGATGAAAGCATGCCTCCTATCTTTGATGATTATGGTGATGACATGTATGCTATATTGAATAATGATAACCATGAAACTTGTCATCATGATTTTAATTTTCAAACCCATGATAGTTATTTTGTTGAGTTTGCTCCCACTACTATCCATGAGAATAAATTTGCTTATGTGGAGAGTAATAAAATTTCTATGCTTGTGGATCACGAAAAGAATGCTTTATGTGATTGCTATCTTGTTGAATTCATTCATGATGCTACTGAAAATTATTATGAGGGAGGAACTTATGCTTGTAGGAATTGCAATAATATCAAGCTTCCTCTTTATGTATTGAAAGTTTTGAGGTTATGCTTGTTTTGCCTTCCTATGCTAGTTGATTCTTGTTCCCATAAGTTGTTTGCTCACAAAATCCCTATCCATAGGAAGTGGGTTAAAATTAAATGTGCTAGTCATATGCTTCATGATGCTCTCTTTATGTTTCAATTCTTATCTTTTATGCGAGCATCATTCAAATCATCATGCCTAGCTAAAAGGCATTAAAGAAAAGCGCTTGTTGGGAGGCAACCCAACATTTACCCCTACTGTTTTTGTATGTTCACATGATTAGGATAATGTAGTAATCATGTTTTATTGTCATTGTTTCAATAAAGTGCCAAGTAAAGCCTTTGGGATCATGTTGGGTGATAGTTGATTTGATCTTGCTGAAAAACAGAAACTCTAGCGCTCACAAAAATAGCTCTCATTTTTAACAGAAGGGTTCTTTTGAGTTGATTATTTTTGCAGATGATTAATATACAAAGTGATCACGTGGTCATATTTGTTTAATAATTTTTGGAGTAGAAGAATTATGGTTTGAGTACAGATTACTACAGACTGTTCTGTTTTTGACAGATTCTGTTTTCAATGCATAGTTTGCTTGTTTCCTTGTTTCTATGACTTATATTGCTCAATGTAAATTGTGAAAATGATATGCTACAGTAGGCATTGTGTGTAAACAATTATGAATCTTGTCTTTGACAGTACCAAAAGTGAAATGGTTTGCTCTTTATCATACTAACCTATCTCACAAGGTTCCGCTAAGTTTT